TTTTAAAATACAGGCTAAAACTTGGTAAAATATTTCATTAAGATGTGAATTAAATTCACAAATGAGCATCAGAATAAATGATAAAATGAAAAATGACCAGTTTTGTGTTGGATTCATCCATCAAAACTTTATTGTTCCTATTCACTTCTAATTTACAAACTAAGCTAAGTCTATAAGCCATTAGCATATATAGTAATTAATATGGTAATTTATATCTATAAAACAGATGATATCTGTGTGTATGTATGCTATTTATGCACATCCACATTTTTCAACCAATTACAATGAAACTGTACACACTTATTGCAAACTTACTAAATTAGGTCAAAACCAACCTTTCAATCTCCAAGCCCTCTGGATTTGGCAAAGAAGATGATAATTAGCTTCACACAAAAAATTGCGAAAACCTATGAAAAAGTTGGGTTTTTCATACTACTTAAAATAAAAACTTGAATAACTTCCTTATTTTTTATCTGATTTTCTTCAAACATGTTGTAGAAAATTTGCCATCATGCAAGAAATAAGATAATGTAGTTTTAGTTCTGTTCACTTCTCTGTGTATAACGAAAAACCATGAAAAACTGTTCAAAAAGCCTATTTTTCGGCCATAACTCCCTTATTTTTCATTCAATGCTTTCCAAATTTGCCATGTAAATTACATATGACACAGAAATTGTCTTGTATGAATGTTTGGTTTAGATTATTTCAGTTACGTGGATGAAATCTGTGACAAAATAGGTCCAATATTGACTTTTGCCATATAGCCAATAGTTTCTTCATATGATTCTATCCTAAATTGGCATTGAACAACTTTTGATGCAAAGATTGTCTGAGAAGGATTATTGAAGCATTAAAAGGGAAAAATTTCTGAAGTACCTCTTATTAACCCCAGCTAAACATGTGAAAAAGGCGGGGGCGCTCACGCATTTACTTTTATAGTTGAATCAAGCTCTGATGCTTTATCTCTGTTTTTGTTTGATTATTAGATTTGTGAACAATGTCATACTATTTGAAAGTTATTATGGCCATAGGAAATTTACTGAATATCTAGAACATTGAAACAATTTAACCCCAAATAACAACCACGCAAGAAGTTTTTATTGACGGAATTCCTTTATTAGGAACAATCAAACAATTGTGAAGGACAAACCGTAAAAAAAGAAGAGGGGGGAGTAGCTTAGTATACCATTGGATGATGCATGCAAGCAGGGATGCAGCCAGACATTCCTAGACAGGGGTCGTGGGTATACAGGGGGGTACAGTAATACAATTGCAGCCTGGGTAACACAGGTTGCTTCAGTTAGTTTTACTTAAAGGAAAGGAATACAACTTTTGATAATCTTTATGTCAGTGCCACTGTATAAATAAGCATTTACAAGTTGTGAAGAAAGTTTATGAATAAATTAGATGTTTCAAAGATATATTTTTAAATTTTATTTTCAGATAAATACTTACATTTGTTTCTGTATAAATACTTATATCAATTTAAATCATGTCCAAGTGAAATTGTCTCAGTAATCCAAATGCATTTTGTTACATTTGTGGTATATATATTTTGCAACTCAGGAGGAAAAAGATTGATGAATTTGTGGAAAAGACTTATTTTGTATACTGTGATAAAGAGAAATTATGGGCCCTTTATCTGGATTGTAATATTTGTAAAGAGCATCTTTAATAAAGGACTCCAGAAAATAGGAATGGTTTCAATTTGGAGACATATGGTGAGAATCATCATATTAATTATCATTTTGATTTTGGAAGATGAGAACAATAGTCCGCATGTAAACGGTGTAAATAATGATAACTACTCATCTCAGAAATTCAGAAAGAATTGTTGATTATTATTTCTGTTCTATTAATATGAAGGGAAATAACAGTTTTAAAAACAAGAAAACCATTGTATACCCAAATCTTCAATTTGCTAGATGACCAGTATTACACAACCATGATCCTTCTGTTCCAATTTTCCATTTACCAGAATTACCTGCAGAAGAAAGTAATCAAGAAATTTCAGAATCAGCTGTTGCATCTTCACAGAAATGGCCTGAAAGAGGGAGCAAAATGTTGAGAAAAGAAAAAAACCTCCTCCTCCAAAGTTGTACTAGAATAACATTCTTCTGCACCAGAAAAGAAAATGAAGGACAATACAAGAACATCAAACAGGTGTTGCTTAAATTATCTTACAATGAGATTTTCTTTTTAATCAGTATCACCCCAAGCAAGGCAGTACAATCACTAACAAGCTAGGGGTTACAGGATGTGGAGTAATGAGTAGAAAGAGAAAAGAGCAATCAAGAAGACAGTAGATAGTGATTGACATTGCATTTAAACTTTTGCAGATTAAAGTTGGCTTGAAAGCATTGGGCCAGAAAGGAGTTCCACAGACAAGAGGCATGAGAAAAGAAACTGTCAGCTGCATGCTGAATCATTTTTATGCACTCAAGGCTAACACAAGTATCAAAATCAGTACCTGCATAGTCATTTGGATAACTTCCTTGACAATTGTGATGACTACAGTGATGAACAAGGAGAGCATTTCCATCAGAATATTAAGTTGTTGGAGGAAAGATACCAACAAAGATGGGATTGGATCTGTTCTCCAGAATTCACTGCCATGTAGGTGGACTGATATTACATAGATGTTCAGCCATCTTTTCTTTGTTTCTAACAAAATTTTCCTGTTTCTTAATACTGTGTTTAGTTTTGGATTCTTCAATGTGATTGTGTCAGTGTTAAGCACAATCATGGAAAAAAAGTTTTTTTACATTTCAAATGAGATATTTTTGTATATTCAAAAGTTAATAAAATTTTTACCCTTGTATATTTCTATTTGTTATACATATTTTTTGAGTAAATTCCTTGTTTTTATTCTTTGTAAAAATATGCCCTGCAGTTATGCATTCTTTTGATTTGGACAAAATTACATTACAGGTGTATTTATCCAAGGATCCTAAAGATGTTTATGCCCATTTTAAAAATATAAAAGTTAAATTTTTAGGATAACAAAATGATATAGAAGGAATATGTTTGACTTTTCTTCAATATTCTGTGAAATGGGCATATCTCATGGTAAAAAACTAGATGTGATGGGAGAAAACTGATGTCACATTCAGAATAAGCACATTAAAGTTACTGAAAATCACTGATTCTTTGTAGACCTGTGTTTGCATACAAAAGATTTTTTTTACTAAATATTACCTAGTACAAAACTCAAACACCACTCAGGTAGAGGGTTACAGTCAAAATGAAATGAGTGAAAAAGAATGTGCTGGAAGTGAGGATAAGGAGGACAGATAATGATTGACCCTTGACTTAAAGAGATCAAGATTAAAACAACTCGGAGAAACATGCTTGTAATGTCTATTTGAATATTTCTGTGCATTTTGTTGTTACTATTGCATTTTGTCTTACTCAAAAGGAATCTTTGTTTTATTTATCACAATATTTCAGCCACTCACCATCCTCCCTGACATGTTTTGGAATGTTGAAACTTGATCTGAAAAGGCATGCACTCCTCCTCCCAAATATATATTGTTTCTTTGTCCAAAAGTTGATCTCCTTTGAACTAAGCAATGAACCATGAATTTCTAATGAACCTAGTGAATTTTTCAGCACTCCTATTTTATAGGATATGAACAGGAATCTTAAAAATCTGGTTATAGTGACATTATCACACCTCATAGAATGAGGTAAAAAAAGACCAGAGAATATCCAATATGTACAAAATCAGGGTAACATTAAAAAGTGTTCCTGCTCAGACCAATGTAAAACCTCAACATAGTTGAAAGCAACAGCATATATACTGTACTTAAATTATTTTATTTATCAGCAAACCGACATTGATATCAAAAGCATGTGAGAATTACAAAACAACAGCCCATGAATTCAGGATTCCAAAGACACAACCCATAAAATATGGAAATTCACCAGGTTTAATGAAAAGGTCACAGGTTCAAAGCCAAATGAGAACAGTTTTGGAAGGTCATGGACACAGGAAAAGCATATGCTTCTTCCAAACAAAGTTTGATATTGTAAAACATCACAGACACCCAAGGAAGACAGTAAAGTTCAAAATTTGAAATATGTTAAAAAAGAAAACAACAAAGATGAAGAAATTAATCCAAATAAAACAAAATAGGTAATCAAGAAATCTTGATTATCTGAAAGTATCATTTTTAGGGAACTGAAACATTCAATGGTTACATATTTGATAAAACATGTTTAAACAAATTCTTGTTGCCTAAAAACACAAACACACACAAACACACACACACACACACACACACACACACACACACACACACACACACACACACACACAGAGGGTGCAATTGGTAAATTGTCATCATTTTATATTTTTCATTTCATGCATGCCTGTTGTTTATTATCAATTTTGTTGACTGTACTGTATAGTAGGGTCTATCAAAGGACGAAATGAGTCAGCTAAGAAAAGTCTGATTAATGCATCATGATATTATAATAATCAACATGTGGCAAAGAATAACTTCTAGTGTTAAATTAAGCAGGTAAGCCATATTATATTCTGATGTACTGAATGCTGCAGTTATGAGCAAGAAGAAAGATTTGAGTGTCTGTGATAAAAGCCAAGATACTATGACCAAGTCAATGTATTTCTAAAACAATATGTTCATGTTCAATTATAGAGAGTATCTATAAGCAGTGATCTAAAAAGGGAAAAATCACCAACTCTTAACAAGACATGAAGGATTGAACTCAAAATTATGTCACCAAATTCATGAATCAATATTTTAATCCACTAGGCTAGTTCATGAATTTGGCAACATAGTAATAGTGATTTCAATCTCTGGGCCAGGTAGTGTGTACTTGGACACAGTGGAAACAGGTGAGCAATAACTGAGCAGTACTAAAAATAAGAAGTAGATGATATATCCCAAGGCATGAGCAGTGGAAAAAAAACAGTCTACTCATGTAGATTAAATAAAGAAGGAATATGTGGCCATATGTCAGAATTCTGACATATGGCCACATCACATTGAAACACCAGTTCCCATACAATCACTGATGTTAAGCAACATCAAGCCTAGTCAGTACCTAGATGGGTGACTGCTTGGGAATACCAGGTGTGTTAAGCTTGGGTGTATGGGTGGTGTAATGGATAATGACATGGAATTGTTAATCAGAGAGCTGAGTTCCAGTTCTCATTGGGTTCATTATATTCACTTGTATGCAAATGCTCTTAGGAAAGGTATGAATCCATCTCTTCTCCCTCCAGCTATGGGTTAATTAGTCTTGTATCACTAAACCATTATTATCTTCAAAACAAAATTCTTACAATCTAAAAATATTTCCTGATTTTGAATAGCATGCAAAGGTTTGATAAGCCATATAAAACAAATCAATCAATTAATGTAGGTTACCCAGATCTATATACCCCTGATGAAGGTCAGAGGACACAACGGCTAAAACGCTGTGATAACAACAAAGATGAGGACAATAGTCTTCATATAAATAGTGTAAATAATGATAATTCCTCATCCCAGAAATTCAGACAGAAAGTAAAATCTCTTAAAATATAAATCTCTTAAAATATATAATAATTTAATAAAACTTTCTTTTATTTTCCTCAAATTTATTCTAATTATCTTGGTATATTGTCTGAAGCAGTAAAAAGACAATATAAGGTTTTCTTGCTTGCATATGAAAATAACTCCTGCTGTTTTTATTTCCAATTATCTTCTTTCTCCCTGTTGACCAATGTATCAATAAAAATATAAAAGTTATTACCCAGCCAGATGTGACACTTCAAATCAGTGATACCAGTTGATTCAGTACAAATTAGAATGAGAAAAAATTAGGGTTAAATACAAAAATATTCATTGATCAATAAATAAATTAAGAAAAAATATATTCTTTGAATTGGCAATGCAGACATAAAATGAATGTACCACATATGTACCTCATTAAAATTTATGTACCACATATGTAACCGATATTGGTTGAAAGAAAATGATGTTTGTAGTCATCATTAAAACAATTACTCTTTAGTTTTATATTATAGAAATAAACTTCTTTTAGATAAAAATACAGAAGATATATATTCTTTATTGCTAACTTTTTATTTCTGTCTGTTATTACATTTTCCTCTTCTGTAATTTTGCTGTATTTCATTAATGACATGTACAGGCTTCACACAGGATGTATGGCTTCCATTTATTGTTTGGTGGTAAAGATGTTGAAAAGAAGTTATCTCCCTTACATTTATTTAAATAATTTATCTTTCTTTAAAAAACTGTTAAACATTTTTTCATTATCTCACATTATTTTTGTTTTTAGTTTTGTTTAACTCTTATTTTATTATAATTTTTACTATGCAGTAATTTTTAATGATTCTCTTAGATCTTTTAACAGTTATTTTTAGTTTATGTTTCTACCAACTGACTAATCACATCTAATAGTGTATAATTATTTTTTGTGCTATTATATGAATGATTTCTGCAGACTAAACTCAATCTGATTTCTTCACAAAAGTATTTTACCTTACATTTTTTTAATCATTTCACCTCACAGAAGGCAATAAAACCACTAAGATGTGAGAGAATATGAGAAAAAGAAGTTGACTGTAAAGCAAGAAGGCAGAAGAGAGTTTCACAAGTAAGAGTCAGGAGAGAAATGTTTGATTTTTTTTTTAAATATATATCGAGTAAATACTTTCCAAACGATAAACAAAATATTAAGAAACAGGAAAGTTTTGTTAGAAACAAAAAAAAATATGGCTGAACTGCTATATAATATCAGTTCATCTACATGACAGTGAATGCTGGACAATTTCTTTCACAAATGAAATGGAGATTTGTTACAAGATTTGATTCTACAGAAGGATACTAAGAATATGAACAAAACATGTATGCAGTAAGGAAGCTTTATGAAAACAAAATGAACACTTTTACTTAGAAAAGGACGGTGAAATGAGAAAAAAGGCTTGGAGAATTTGATACTAACAAGATATATTGAAAACAAGAGAAGCAGTGGGAAACTGAATAATCTACCTAATCAGCTTGTCTAAATGGATAGTGGAATAGGATGTGAGAAGTGTTGCAAAAAGGTACACATCTGTTTGGTACTCCAACAGTATTTTACATGCATTTTACATCATTAGGTTATGGACTGACTGATGTACACTACAGTTCAAAGGTTTGAAGCCACTCCTAGAATTAACATGGGATGAACTTGACAGAAGAATGAAAAAAAATGAAAAAGAACTCTTAGAGTCATTAAAAAAAAAAGAATGGAATCAATTATCAAACTTATACTTTGAGAAACCTTTGCAATGAATACCAAAAATTTGTGCTGCAGTAATCAAGGCTAAAAGATGATATTTTGACAAGAGCAAAATTTAATCATAAAATGCATTTTTCTTTTCATCATAATAAAATTTCTAATAAAAACTCTTACATTTTTAAACATGTATAATAATTTTCTTTTATTTAAAGTACAAAACAACTAAATTTAAAAAATTACCATAGTTATTTCAAACTTTTGAACTGTAGTGTACCTACTTTTATTTTACAAAGACTGATCAAGAGTACATTCAGATTGAAATATTGTCATCCCCAGGTTACTAAGAAAATTAATGTTATTCATTCTATTACAAATTCAAACTATCTATAATGTATGGCCTGTTTGATAAAGTATGTAAGATAAATCTATTATTTAATTACACTATTTATATTTTGACTATTGTCCTCATCATTGTTGTTGTTATCACAACGTTTTGATCATTGTGCTCTTCGGCCTTCTTCAGGTGTATATCAATGTGGTAATAACTGAGCAGTACTAAAAATAAGAACTAGATGATATCCTTAGATATAGACATAGATATAGTGGAACAAGAACAGTCTATACTTGTAGATTAAATAAAGGGTTAATTTCAGAATTCTTTGTAGGTTACCCAGATACACCTGACTGAAACGTTGTGATAACACCAGTAAAAATGAGGACAATAATCCAAATATAAATAGTGTGAATAATGATTACTCCTCATCCCAGAAATTCAGGAAGAAATAATTCTGTCTTGTTGTAAATAAAGGAAAGGATATCTGGCTGATATGTGAGTTGGTTACTACAGAATATAGCTTTTTTTTTCCTTTTTTCTCTTCTAATTGCCTTTTGTAGATTTTCATAATTCAGTTATGCTGGAATAATAAATTTGCCTTTTTTCATATTAAGATAATGTTAATTCATTTTTCATATTAAAAATAATGTTAATCATAACTGACAGTTTTATTCAAGTACTATTCTAGTATTTCTAAATGTGTCTCAAATTTTCAGTTTTCCAAACAGGCCATCAATAATGAGATTGTCCTTTTGTATTTCATTTGACACAGTTGCTTATCTGATCTGTTGTTCTGACAACGAACACTGGACGTGTGATAACGATCATTTTGCAAAGGCTAGGTGAACATATTTCTACAACCTTTTCCACAATATATCTCCATAGAGCAATCCAAATGTTACCTAGATAGGTATTAATGTATCAGTAGTGTGCTCATATTGCATAGTATTAGTATATTTAATCAGTTCAATTCTGAACTGATTAAACATCTTACCTTGCAGAGTCTTCTTTCAGATGAAGAATATAGCTTTTACTTCTCTATGTCAACCACTGATATTTTTTTTATAGCACAATGAGAATATTGCCACATCCTGTCTGTAGAAGAGAAGTTTGAGGGTGGAGAATAATTTGTCACCCACAAAGGCTTGGAGATGCTTTTGGACTCAAGGCTGGAGAGTGAGATCTGGGCAGCTCCCACGCAAATATGACAACAGTACTCCATTTTTGTCCTGATTTGGCTCTTGTAAAGGTAGTGAATAGCAGGAGGAGTCAGGTACTTACTGGAGATGTTACTTGCATCCTTAGCAATGGATTGTATATACAAGTTTCATTTGAGTCTGTGTGTGAGTTTGAGGACCAACAGTCTTTCAATGCCCAAAAGGACCTCAATCCTCTTCCCCAAAAGGATCTCAATCCATCCTGATTGGTAGAAGTTCAGGACCAGATTGGCAATGATGGAATGTTCTTGGTATTCAAGGCATCGAATATAACCAGCCAGTTTTTACTTCATTGGGTAGTTTGTGCAAAATTGGAAGAGGGATCAGTTTCCAATCTCAGACCATTAAGAGTTTCAGAGGTGTGCTCATATATAATTGTATCATAGGCATAAATGTTTACAAATAATCTAAGTATATTCTTAGGCAGATCATTTATGTAGATAAAAAATAGGGTTGGTTCAAGCAGTGACCCCCGAGGGATGACTGCATTGACCACCAGAACTTCAGAGGACTGGCCATTAATAACTACCTTCAGGGACCTATCTGTTAAGAAGGATTTTATGATCAAGAAGATACTTCCAGTGATTCTATAACTGGAAAGCTTGTGTAGTAAACCTTTCTGCCACATCTTGTTGAAGGCTTTGAAATATCTAATGTTATGGTCATTGAGGTGTGTTTGTTGTTAAGAACCTCACTGATTCTGCGAGTGATGGTACTTAGGATATCAGCATTAGATTGAGCTGACTGAAACACATGCTGCTTGTTGCTGAAGAGGTTGTTCTTTTCTAGGTGCTCAACAACTTTCTTATTGATTATGAACTCAAAAAGCTTACTCATGATACTGAGAAGACTGATGGGTCTGTACTGGGAGGGGGAAGATCGCACACCCACATTCTTGAAAACAGGGCATATACATGACACCTTCCACATGCTTGAGAAAGATTTCTCCTTCAAGCAGTGGTTGAATAACTTTGCTAGGATTGGGGATAATTCCAGGTTGATATTCTTAAGGACAACTACTGGAAGTGACTTTCTTAGGGTCAATGTTTTGATAAGTCTAGAGACTTCTTGTGCTGTGATGGTAATATTACTGAGATTGTGCTCAGTAAGATGTGGGAATGGGGATGGTCTTTCTCATCTAACATTGAGTTAGCAGCAAAGATAGAGGTGAAGAGCTTTGCTTTATCTGTTGAGGAAGATATGACCTTGGAGCCATTTATAATTGTGGGAACAGTTGCTTTATCTCTGTTCATGACTTGGTTGGTGATCTTCAAAAATTCACGGGATCCAATTTG